GACCCCATACCAAATTATGAAGTTGCACGCAATATCCCGATTGCAATAAGTGGTTGGCAAGGAGAAGTGGAGTTCCACATTGTCACAATGAGAGATCGCCCCATAGTCCTTGGCATCAACTTCATCGACAACGTCCGAGATGTCCCCTTCCTCTTTGTCGAAAATATGTGCATCATCAACGGAGGGAAAGCTTGTGCAATACCAATTCTGAAAGAAGAATCCCCTACCCCATAAAACTTGTTTTCCATGCAGGTATCAAGAGGCGTGAAGAGAAGGGAGCCAACGTTCCTAGCCATGATGGAGATAGAGATGGGGAAGGATCGCTGACACCTAAAAAGGGAGAAAATCCACAGATAAGGAGCATTCTAGAAGATTTTGAGGACGTGATGCCCTCGGAGATTCCCACAAACTTCCATCAAGGGGGGAAGTTGACAACGAGATTAAGTTGGAGATCGGGGCCAAGCTCTCAGCTAGGGCTCCCTATAGCATGTAACTGCCAGATTTGGAGGAGCTAAGGAAGAAACTGAAGGAATTATTAGAAGTGGGCTACATCCAACTAGGGATGGCAATGGGGCGGGTTTGCCTAAACCATCCCCATCCCCGCTTTCAAATATCCAAACTCATACCCGCCCCATACCCATGAGGGGGAAGATTTTGCAAACCCATCCCCGTACCCGTGGGTTTCGGGTACCCATGGGTAATACCCGCCCCGTACATCCAACATTATAATACATAAAATTTACATGTAAATTTTCAATTATAACATTAAAGGCACCTATTATATCATGAAGTCGAGAAAGTGACAATAATTCTTAATATGGTTCAAAGCATTTTATCCTAAAATTTCCCTTAATCCATAAAATAGAGTACTACAATGTAATCCAAATCATTATTTATCTGACTCTAATACATATACTAAGCAATAATGAACTAATATAATCTTGCTAACACGAGGGAAAAGTGAAAGAGTGAATAGAGAGTTGAAGAAAATGAATTAGGTTTTGATTTGGGTGACCACTCAATTGCATTTCTACTAATTATTTTTTTTATTTACCCTCACTATCATTGATAGATTACTATTTTATCCATGTATTTTTTATATGTGAACAAATATTCTTGGTGGGGCGGGTATGGGTATGGGTATGGGGCGGGGGAGGCTAAAATCATACCCGCCCCATACCCATCAAACATTTTGCAGGTTTTACCCATACCCGCCCTATACCCAGTCAAAGCGGGGATTCCCCGCATTGACTGGGTCGGGGCGGTCGGATACCCGTGGGCATGGGTTTGATTGCCATCCTTACATCCAACCTTCAAAGTCTCCCTTTGGAGCACCATGTTGTTCCAAAAGATGAAACTAGGGTCGATGCAGATGTGCATCGACTAACGAGCACTCAACCACATTGTTGTAAAGAATCAATGGACAATCCCCAAAATAGCATATTTTTCTTATCAACTTGGAGGTTAAAGATGGTTTAACAACTTCGATCTCCGATTTGGATACAATCACGTGAGGATAGCAGAATGAGGCAAGCCAAAAATAGCATGTGTGACGAGGTATGATTCATACGCATTTCTAATTATGCCATTTGGATTGACCAACACTCATGTTGCCTTTAGAACTCTCATGAATCAACATTTCGAACAGTTCTTGGACTAATTTTTTGTGGTGTACTTGGACGACGTCGTGGTGTATAACAACACCATCGACAACCACATCAAGCACCTGTGACAAGTCTTTGAAGTACTACGAGAAAATCATTTGTTCGTGAATAAAGAGAAGTGTGACTTTGTCGCCGCCAAAGTTTCATTCCTTGGCACATCATTGGAGGCAAAGGTGAAGGCAATCAAGGAGTGGGAGCCACCAACCCGAGTCACCAAACTGCGCTCATTCCTTAGAATTGGAGATACTATTGGTGTTTCATCAAGGGCTTCTCCAATATTGCAACACCCTTGATAGAGTCCTCAAGAAGAACAGGTCATGGGATTGGATGTCATAATGCCAAGAAGTGTTCGAGGCATTGAAGAAAGTGGTGATGGAAGAACCAATCTTGGTGTCTCCCGACCCAAACAAAGTGTATGAGGTAGAATCTGATGATTTATATTTTTATTTTGGTGGGATATTAATGCAGGGTAGGCATCCCATTTCCTATGAGAGCATAATCAAAGACACCGAGAAAAGGTACACGGTGCAAGAAAAGGAGATGACCATGGTGGTGCATTGCCTTTGCACTTGGAAACAATACTTGTTGGGGTCAAAAGTGATGAGGGTATGTCTATGATAGAAGCATTCAAAGCTCGATATTTTTTATCAAAAGGTTTACCCCATGTGTTTTCAGACTCTATTGCATGATTAGTTGTTTATGTTTGGATTGGATTGGATTGCATGATGTTCTTGCATATTGATGTGGTTAGGATTATCTCATGCTCTTCTTGACCTTGTAAGTTTTCTTGTGATCCACTACCTAAGATTCGTGATTGAGTGATGCTTTCTTGTGTTCATTGAGTTATATGATTGTGAGTAGTGTTTGCTTGGGGACAAGCAAAGTTCAAGTGTGGGGCATTTCTGATGATGCTCAATTTCTAGTGTTTATCACTCCCTTATTGGATAAATTTCCCTTCTATCATTGCATCAGAAGGAGGACGAGATTACAAGCTCATGGGCTCAAATGGAGATGGATATGAACATTGGATGCTCACTTTATGACAAAAACAAGCATATATGGTAGTGAAGCAAACCTAACTTTGATCGAGGTCCAACCAGAGTTCTATAAGTCAAAACACGCTAAAATTTGGAGGAGGAGGAGTTGCTTGTGGACCACGCAACTTAGTGATGACACTCTATTTATAGTGTTTATCACTCCTATATTTTGTACATTTTACCCTTCTATCAATGTATCTTTAGTATTTTCATAATATTTCATATGGAATTCATAATTATTTGATTTATGAGTATATGATAGACTTTGAGTGTGTATTATACTATTTTATGCCTTTTGGCGTTTTTCTGATTTTCAAGGATATAATGCACTCAAGATAAATATGGATCACCAAGGTCCCAATGAATCAGAAGGAGCACGCAAATACAAGCTCATGGGCTCAAACAGAGATGGATTCTGGTATCGGAAGCTCAAGTTATGTACAATAGAATGGTATTTTAAAGAGCAGACATATCAAACAAAGTCTAAATAAGTTGACTTTTGATGAGCAGTCCAATGAATCAAGATGAAGTTGCCATGGAGAAGAAAACCCTACGGCGGGTACCTCCTCCGTCCAACACCAGCTTGAACCCAAGCCATCCAAAAATTTCCACTTCAAGATTACCTAATCCCAAGTCAAAGGAATCTGAGTTCAAGTCGCACAAGGAAGGTTTTGGCCGCCTTTAGGAGGAAATGGACTACCCCCCCCCCCCCCCTCCCCTGGTAACTAGTATAAATATGAGGCTATGCTAGAGCTTTACACAAACCTTTTACCAGCACTCTATCCTAGGGGCACGAGTTAGAGATCCATAGAGAGGAGGCGAAGGCCTGCTAGAGCTTGATGAGGATTTGTCACCATCGATGTTTCTATTATTGGTGATGTCTTCCTATTCTCCTATGGATATATGATGCTTGAGTTAATTTAATGAGATGCATATTGTGATTATTATCTTTATCATTGATGCTTGAGTTAATTTATGCTTGTATCATCTATTGCTTATCATTTGAAGCTATTGTTACTAGATGCTTTAGACCATTGATGCTTATGATTATGTGTTACAATATGCATTGTTCTTTGTACCATCTAGATTGTTAATAAATTACCCTCTAGTGATACCCTATTGATGCTACACGAGTATAGATGGGATGATTAAACCATCTATATCTCGATTAGTATTAATGCTTGATTCATAGATCATCGATGTTATAGACCATCAATTATGGCTCAAGAGGCCCGCACTTATGTGTTATCATAACTTCCCTTTTCTTCATTGATTAGGTGATGGCATGTAGCGAAAAAACGCATTAGCTAATCAAGTTCATATTACATGTGGCGAAAGCTCGAGTAGGATGACCTTAGTGGAAGGGATAGGGCATCATAAAAGATGATGCATAGAAGCATCACATTTAAGAGTTAGTATGCATGATAATCTAGAGAACACTACCGATGCAATCCTTTTACTTGCTTTCTTGTCTCGCATTGCTCTCCATTTACTGCATTAGTAGAGTAGAATTCGACCAAGGATATCTCAACCCAACATATTATATTTTCTTTGCATCGCCATCCGAATACAAGTTGATTAGGTTTGAGTACGTAGTTATTATCAAAAATACCTCGTGGAATACGATCATAGGGCATCTTAGGATTTTTCACTTGTTACTACATCCATTTTTTTATGAATACTACATCAAGTTTTTGGCACCATTGTTGGGGATTTTTTTAGGGTTAGTACACTAGTTTGGCCCGAAGTTTAGCGTTAGTGACAGTTCTGACCCCGTTTTTCAAATAAGACATTTATGGCCCACTTTTCAAACTATTGAACAAATTTGGCCCAAAATTTTCTTTGACCGTTAATATTAATGGTCAAACACTATTCCGTTAGTGACTCAGCAAAAAACCACTGATGTAGCATGCCATGTCATTAAATAAAATATTTTAATTTTGTAATTAAGAAAATCCCTCTTATTAATCCCCAAGCCCCAAACCCCCAAATCCAAATGCTAAATTAAATCAACATCATCGTCAAAAACCATAAAATCCCCAAAGCCTCCACCTTCTCAGACGACCACCACTATGCTGCCTCTCTTGTTCCTTCCCCAAACCCACACCTACTACAATTTCTTCTTCTTTTTCTTCTACCGATTCCTCCTCCCCTTTAAGAGAAGTCATCCAAAAATCAAAGACATTTATTCTCATCCATCGATTCCCATAAGCGAGCTCTTTTCACCTAGTTGCCGAACCCGCCCACCCAGCATCGAGGAATCGGCTTATGGTCTTCTTGTTGTGGTCGCGAGCTCTTTTCACCTGGTCTCCGACCCCGCACCCAACATTGAGGATTCGACTTTCGGGCTTGATTTTTGAACTAATCGGGTGGCGTTGCGAGTGGGATTTCCCCGACAACGAAGGGGAGAAGTGGAATGATTGGGCCCAACCCCATTCATAGATGTCGCCGACAAAGTTGTATAAAGTGTCGACGATGGCGGGGACTTTCTTGGCTGTTTTGATCTGGAATGGGGTGCGGAAGAAGGACCAGTACGGTTGGTACTTTTTCTAGACCTTCTTGGCGGAGATTGAGACGCCGCCAACCCTCGCCGCCTGCCATCGATCGCCACGAAAAGGCCTCATCGCATGCTTAACTTCGATGTGGGTCAGATTTGATTTCAGAGGATGTCGGAGACAGGGACGGGAACAACTGGGGTTCTGGCACGAGGAAGAAAGACTATGGAAGGGGATAAGGAAAGGGAAAGGTCTGTGGTGGTGGCCCTCATGAGTCGTGTCTCCTCTTCCCTTCCCTTTTTGTTTTTTTTTAGTAACGATATGGACAAGCTGAGTCAACATCAAATGCTGAGTCAGCGACGAAGAAAATGGTTGACCGTCAATTCTAATAGTCAACCCGTCCCATATGTCACATTTGTCCAATAGTTTCAAAAGTAGGTCATAAAGGTCTTATTTGAAAAATGGGGCCAGAACTATCACTAACGCTAAACTTCAAGACAAACTAGGGTATTGACCTATTTTTTATAGTAATTTTTATAGTAATTGAAAGAAACTAACCACTTGTGTTTGATTACTTTAGAAAGTTATTACCTCCTCGCTTGTTTTCGTTTTTTGTAGGAATCGAACTCGAGGGAAGCATTGCAAGGCATTCAACAATGAGAATAGTTGAAGCACAACTTGGAGAAAGATGGGTATCCTATCTCTATTCAAGAATATTTGGCCAAAGGCATCAAAGGTCAAAGCAAGCAACATCAATCCTCCTCCACCATGTTACTATCAGTAAAGGATTCATAACAAATGGGATAGCGAAGATATGGATCCCGAAGAAGCGAAGCTACTCAAAGAATGTATGAGGAGTTCCCAACTATAGAGGAATTGAAGCAAGCATTTGATTTTCTCAAATCAAGATGCCAGGTTAACCCATAACCTCCTAGGAGCATCAATGCTAGCATCAAAGATGAATGACCAAAACAACTGCTAGAAGATGTTTCAAATCATCAAGGATCACACCGAAGCCTATAAATACGTTCCAATTAGATGCATGAAGGTTTTGGAGAGATCTAGGGTCACGAAGGGCTTCTGGAGCATGAAGAATTCATAGACCATGGAGAAGAGGATATCATCTCAATGCCAACCAGTAGGCGATGAAGAACATGGAGAGATCTTAGACCAAGGCAGGGACGGAGCCAGGATTTCAAATTAAGGGGGGCGAATTTTTTTCACAACACATACATAGTGATGAAAAAATACATATAAATATAACATCCAAAATTATTAACAATTTTTTATATAAAATCATTAAAATTATGTCAAAACTATAAAAATCATGACATATTTCAAAATAAAATAGCATAGATTCGACTATTTAAAATATAACATTTTCAATTTCAAATAAATTCACATGCAAAGAGACTTACCAAGAAAATAAAAAAATATATATAAAGGAGACTTGCTTAGAAAAATAGGGAAAAGAGTGTAGGAACTAGGAACAACCAATTTATTAATTTAAGTAAAATGAGTTTTGAAGGAAAATATATAAAGGAGACTTGCCATTATCCTCATGGTAAAAGGGTGTAATGAGAGTCAATTAAAGCAAAATGAGCTTTCTAAAAATAGCAGAGGTAGGGTTTGAACCCACATGCTCACAGTAATGAAGGAGAAATATAAGTGCCAACACCACTATGCTACGTAAGACTCTGGCTGCTATATAAAACTTCCATTGTGTTTTTAAGTTTAGGGGGGGGGGGGCATGGCCAATGAATGTGAAGAAGAAGAAGACGGTGATTTTATAACTCAATCTTTCAACAACAAAAATCAAGAGACCCCCTCAAGAAGATGCAACGAATGAAGGAAGCTACTCACAATACAAAGAAAGCATCACACCAACCATGAAAACCATGATCGAGCATCTTGAACCTATCCAATGAAAGAAGAATGATTAACCTATCAAGGAACCTCAAGAATTAGATCATCTCAAGGCCAACAAATTTGATGATGAAGAATATTATCTTACAACTCAATCTTTAGAAGTATAAAACGAGATACAACCCCTAGGACTAGCAATGGAGGAACATGGTTGCATTGTTGAAAAACTTACACAAATCCAAACTTTCTTGAATTTATTGGAAGATGCATATGGTTTTACACCCTTTGAAGGCATTGAACACTTTCTATGCCTTCTTCAATTTGAATCCAGAAGTAATCCACCTACCGAGGCATCCAACATTGGAAACATCCAGGAGGAAGAGTTCGAGTATGATGACCTCTTGTACCTCTTATTTGAAGTTCAACAAAACCCTTGGAACCAAACATTGAAAAAGAGATCGTGTAGGAGAATCCTAACAAGGATGATCAACCTCAAATAGAGCATGAAGATGAGGAGCCACTAGAGGAACAACCATCTCAACCTATCCAATCAAAGAAGGAGTTTCAAGAGGAGACATCGATAAGAAATGTTGATGATCAGACCAACATGGAATCTAACCAAGGAAAGAAGCAAGATACTCCCACCAGTTAGGAGATCGTGGAAGAGTTCATCAATGAAGAAAAATAATCTAGCTCAATAAAGGAAACTTGATGCCACACTCATCTAGAGTTCAACTCAAGTTGGGAGGAGGAAGTTGACAAAGACTGCAACTTCAAACTCGGAGAAGAAGGATCCTCTACATCATCCTCTACATCAATGGAAGAAGATCAATGAGTATCAATCACACCTAATCTAAGCAATGACATGTTATGCATAGAAGAACCAAGCCTTGAAATGGATAGACCCCTTCAAGATCTCCTTACATCGTCTTCCCGAAGATCTACTCAAACATTAAAAAAGAAGAACTTTGAGGAAGTAAGGGTAGAGCATGAAGAGTTTACCATTTATAAGAGCGCTCATGGTGAAACGATGGAGGATGACAATCCCGAAGTTGGAGACCCTGAAGAAAACTTCCAAGTCCTGGTGGAGATACATCATGGAGTCAAATCTGATCTCAATAGACTCCTTGATAAGGATCCCTTTGCAGCATTTCTGGAGAGTCGTGAAATCATAGGGTTTTATCTAACCCGAAGAGGGGAATACATGAGTCGCTTCTTGAATAGTTACCTCTACCACATGTCTAATGTTCACAAATCAAAGGAAGGTACCACCATTAATGATGAGAACATCTCGTTATCGGAATATCTCTCTACTTGGACTAGACAATGCACTCATGCAGAGTGTTACAAAGATTTGTGTGTTCGTGCAGTTTTAATCTTACAATGGTGCCATGCCCTCTATTCATTGGGGAGAATCCAACCTAAAACAACCTAAACTGACTAGGAAAGAGTCTTCTAAACCTACTAGACTCGGGAAACTTCTTCAACACGCCAAAGGGAAGGCGGTGGTATGGCATCCGTTGGACCTGTCGCTCTAGTTCTTCATGAGTTGGGCTTCTTGATCTATGGACTTCAATTCTTGACGATTTGAGCTGCAATTTCCGGGAGCATCAATTGGACCCGTTGCTTGGACCGCCGCTCTTTCTTGAACTTGGGTATGGTACTTAAAGGGGTTGGTGCAAGGATGTCCTTCCATTCCATCGTTTAGATCGCCCAATTAAATACAGTCCTTAATACGAGCCTCCTTTAGGCTGCTAATTACTTGAATTATTATCAAATTCAATCACCATTTTCATTTAATGACCAAGTTTGGACTTTAATTGGTTCACAATTGAGGGGATGAATGATACGAAAATCCCCAATTGTGACTCAGTTGCGTCCTGTTTCACAAATTCAAGAATGTGGCCATCCATCCATCGAAACTAATCGCTCGGGATCCATCTAATGTGTGTGCAACAACTAATTCAGAGTGAAGAAGAATCATACAAGATATGTTTAGAAGGCGGGTTGCGAAGGAGAGACTCGAGGCGATCCAGCTTGATTCCTAGCTCAACAAGCTTCGACTCAGCTGCAGCATCCACGCGCCGCTTGTTCTCCAAACCCTCCATCAGAATCGAAGCTTCCTGAGCTTCCCTCGTCCATGAATCCACCGCCAAGGAATGCTCAGCCATCTTCCTCCCTTTTTCTCTGGTCTTTCTCCTAGCAGCGATTTCCATTGCAGCGAATGAGGTCAGGTTCACAAGGGCGAGAATCGATGTGGTTAGCCGTCATTTTTGGTAGCTCTGCAAATAAACGATTGGGGTTTTGAGGAGAGTGATGACTAGGGATGTCAATCCAACCCGTAACCATGGGTACCCTACCCGACCGTAACCGGTCAACGAGGGTAATTACCCGCTTTGACGGGTTAAGGGGCGGGTACGGGTAATACCCGGTTTCAAAATAAAGGGTAGGGTACGGGTATGGTAATCGATAATACCCGCCCCGTTATACCCGCCCCGCTAACCAAAGGGTCAATTTCCCTTGAGAAATTTAGTTTAGCTTGAGAAATTTAGTTTAGTTACCATTATTGATGATGAAGATTTAGACGATTATTATGTTTGTGTGGATTGTAGAAGTAAGAACAATTATTATGTTTTTGTTGTTTTTATTTGTGTGGATTGTTGAAGCTAGAACAATTAGAAGTATTGAGAATTCTTAATGGACAATAATATGTATGTGCATATATGTATAAGTTCATAGTTTAGGATTCGTACCCATGGTTACCCGAATACCCGTGGTTACCCGGTGGGTAGGGTATGGTTATATAATTTTCATACCCGGTGGTTATTTAGTCGGGTATTTTAAAAGACTCTACCCGGCGGGTTAGGAGTTGGTATAGGGTAAACCCGCACCCGACCCTACCCATTGCCATCCCTAGTGATGACTTAGAGAAAGGAAGAAGAGTTGTGGTGTCGCAGATAATTTACTAGAATTGTTTTGGATGATAGGGGGTTTTGATTTGAGCAGAGGCTGTGAGAAACTGACAATTGTGAAGTGAACCGGAAATATGAAATTATTTCTTATTTTAATCAAAGTGAAAATCACACGCCACGCCGTTCGGCAAAGTTTTGGCGCCTTTCCAGTGTAATCTGATATGGGCCTTTCTTAGGTTGGGCCAATATCCGATCCACCTAAGTGCAGGTTACCTGGGCCGTGCTATTGTATTGATCTGTAAGCAGTGGAGGAGATGCTGAAC